TTAAATATGGGGGATGAGAACAATGTATTGATTGATTCATTTACTCAACAACTGAGTACCAGAAATCATTCTCGTTTAATAGGCTGATACTAGGTGGGTACTGTGGGGCTCTCTGTTTTTTACTTTTTCATTTTTACATGTTTAGTAAAACTATGAATGAAAGCACAGAAGTCATACTTCTGCTTTCAAATGTGCAGATGTACATAAAAATGTGCACAAGAATAAGCCAGATAGCTATTGGTCAGTTGGTCAGCTGAAAAGAGAGTATGATACTAGCATGCTAAATCTCAGGGTACACATAAAGATCCACACTTAAGTGAAGTAGAATAGTAGAAAATAGAGAAGAGCTTATCTGCAGTAAATATAAAAATCATACAAATGTTAGCGTGGCAAGGCTAACCAAAAGTTAATTCGCTCTTAGAATGTGGTCACTGTGCTCTGTGCTAATCAGACCACATCATTTGTGGTATCACATTCAGTGAGGTCTGTTATACTTGAATGACCATTGCAAATTAGAGTTTATCAAGGGATTCACCAGGGAATAATGAAAGTCTGTCAAATGAGGAACAATCGAAAGGCCTGGGGGTAACTAACTTTAAGCAGAGAAACCTGCAAGTGCCCAAAGCTGTCTGCAAATATTTAAGGGCCCTCCCACAGGAAGACACTTGCACTGTTGTTAAAGGGACAGTAGTTCCAATACTGAAAGATACAGGAAGCCAGATCTCAGCTTCAGGTGATCAAGAACTTTGAATAGAGTGCTACCACCAAGGACTGGACTTTCTTGTGAGATAATGAGCTCCTCATCACCAGAACTGCTCAGGCAAAAGTAGAGTAATAATGCAGAGGAGACATTTTAAAAGAGATTCTTTAATTGAGTGGGTGGTTGAACTGCATAACTTTGAAGTTTTCCTTGAAGCTTCTCATTACATTCCCAGAAAGGGGGAAAAATAAGGGAGAAAACCTGGACACACCCACATTTCCAGGGAGAAAACTGGACACACCACTTTTCTCTACTCCCATTCAATTTTATTCCTCCAACTTTTAGCATGGTATACAGTCGCAAAGAGTCAGACACAGCTGAAGTGATTTAGCACAGCACACATAGTGTGGTGGTCTTCCCAGGTGGCACTTGTGATAAAGAATCCACTTGCCAATGCAGGAGACATAAGAGACTCAGGTTTGATCCCTGCATTGGGAAGATCCCCCTGGCACGGTAACCCACTCCAGTATTCTTGCCTCGAGAATCTCATGGACAGAGGAGACTGGCAAACCACAGTCCATAGGATTGCAGAGAGTCAGACATGACTGAAGCGACTTCACACACACACACACACACACACACACACAATGTGGTATGTTTAAAGGATCCCAGGTCTGTGGAGGACCTTCTGAGTTGACAAGTGGTCCAAGGTTTCAAAAGAGATAGAGAACAGCAAGTAATCCTATGGTCCAGAAGGGTGGGGTAAAGATGGTGATATCTAACCTGGGACTTAAAAGTAGGTCAGTTTTGGTCTCAGAACTGTACCCTGGTGACAGGAACAGAGTGAGCTAGGAATATTATTTCTTGCTGGGAAAAGTCAAGTTCAGTTGAAGCAGATGAGGCTTCTACCCCGTGCTCCCAGCCCGCTCAGCCTGATCCTCCCAGTCCAGAGAGCTGTCAGCCTAGGCCATTGCATAAGAGAATCTTTCTCAGAGAATTTCTGTCTTCCTTTCATATTAGCAATTACTGATTGTCCAGAACTTGATGTGGTGGTCATCTGCCTCTGTCCTTGAAAGGCTCTGTAGGCTTCCGACAATTCTTTCCTGGACAGCCCTTCAGATAGATTCCTGCAGAAGTACTATCCTAGGCATTCAGTTAATGTGGCTCAGGGAACTACTGCCTCCTGATGAACTACTTTCAAATGTTTGATTGAGTTTAACTGGATACATACTTCAGCCATATTCTTGAGGTACACACACATGTATAAGAACAGGATAGCTGAACATGGCCTAGAAAGTCAGATAAGGAATTTATATTTGTTTTGATAGAAAATTGGGAGTTTGGGATTAATAGTGTGGGAGCAAAAAAGTTATATAATGAAAGTTTAAAGAAAATAAGCCTGTCAGTGGCCTGAAGGAGGCAGTGAGGACTGGTATGAGGGTGATCAAGAAAGCCAATATTAAAAGCTTATAGACTTGAGATGAAGAGGCTGAACCCACTTAGGGGAAGCAGGCATGACAGGAAAGAGATGGGCCTGAGTGATGCCTTGATGAAAATGTGAACATTTCCTGGTGTCTGGTGGACATGGGAAATGACTGGTACTGATACACATCACCCATCCTCAGCTCTGCTTTCCTTGAGCTTCCCAACCAGCCACATCTCCTTGCTGAGGCTGGATCATATGTCTGACTTGGTTTCCAGTCTCTTCTTGGAGTAAATCCCTTTGGGTCCTCATTAGTAGAGAATTTTCTTATCCAACACTGCTTTCATTCATTAACTGTCATCTTCCTCACCCATTTGGGAGCACAGTGTTTCCATACAGGTACAAGGGGAGTAGCATCAAAGAGGCATAGGTACAAAGAAGAAATGTCTAAGTAGGTTCATAAGGAGCAGGGGGATGCTTTTCTTCATTTCCCAATATTGTACGTAACTAAAGCATTAAAACTAAGAGTCCATTCCCCTCAGTTGCCCAGAAGAAGGAGTGTAAGATGGCAATAGTAATTAACCTTTCCCATCCCCCAACAGCAAGTCTGTGTATAAGACAGATACCCAGTTTTTCTAGTCATATCTAGAATCGGACCTTTCTGAGTCAAGAAATACTGCTTTTTTGATTTATCAATGGTTTTGGAAACCATTTCCCCCCTTTTGCCAAAAAGTTCTTATGGGTAAGCACCATGCAAAATTTTGTAAGTTCCTCTCTCTGTGCACATCCAGTCAAGGGCTCTGCCTGCCATGAATAAGACCCACAGAACTTACCAAAAGGCAGCCATGCCAATTCTGGCCCCCTAAGGAAGCCCCTTCCTGCTCTCTCAGAACCAGAATCATGGTCAAAAAGAGAAAACCAGTGTTTCAAGGGCACAATCTGAGGGACATCCCCTTCTCCCCATTCTACGCGCTAGCCCTACCCTGGTGCTTGGAATTCCCAAATTACTCATTCCTTGGGTAAAGGCATTTTTGAAAGCCCCTATTAAAATGCAAATGCTAGCTGGAAAGGAGAAATGTCTTTTGTTTTTAGCTATTAAGAGTTAAGTTTAATGGAACTTGGAAAGAAATCATATTCATGAAAGGAAGGAGAAGAATAGGGAATGGGACCTCTCCCATCTTGACTGGGAGATGGAAAGTGCCTGGTACAGTTTTCTTTGTCTACATATATTCAAAATGGCATCTTTCTCCCAAACCCAGCCTAAGTAAACTATGATGGGTAGCTCAGAAAGTCTCTGCATTGATTAGAGATGAGGACAAGGGTCTAATAAAGGGTTAGGTGCTCAGCTTAGGGCCCTATCCTTCCTTCTTGCCTGACCATGAAAGGTGAATTATCCATATTTGCCTGGACTCTGAATGACTCCAGAAACTTCCCTACCACCTCCTCATTTGTTTCAGACATATTTGTTCTAGTTCTATGTCCTTACAGCTTCCATCTTCTGGCCCATAGACCCCTAAACTCAACTCCTACCTCTATCTGATTTTTGAAACATGGTATTTGAACCTTGAATTTCTCCTAAGGAGTCTAGCTTAGCCTGTCTTTTCACCTTTCATGTTCTCTCCCCTCCCCACTCTAGCCTCAATTCCATGAAATCTAATCCTCACCTCCATTATGAGGGGACATGTGTTATCTGGGAATACTGTAGTAAACAAAATATCAAGCTCAAAGACAGTTCTTGAACATTGAGCACGATCACAAAACCATTTCTTCTCTTCAGAGCATTGTTGCTACACAGTCATTTTTAGTGTGACTATTTAATTAGTACTGTTTTCCTGTTAGGCTAGAAGCTTCAAGAGAACAGGGGCCATGTCTTTTATTCTCCTTGTTAGAAACCCAGGACCTGGGATATAGTAAGCATTCAAAAAATATATTTAGGGTACATGAATGAGCAGAGATTTATAAATGCTTTCATTATACACAGAATAGCTCATGTAAATAGTAATATCTGTAACAGTAAACAGAATATCACACTCTGAACTTGTGCACGTAATTAAATAGACATTTTAATCCAGAGCCTGAGTCCTAAGACTGAGGTTGGGAGGAACAGGTCAACTCCTTAGTTCTTACAATTTGAGGAGTGGGAAGTTCCCTTGGTCAAAAATTATTTTCACCTGTCTCTCCAGAACCTTCAATAACTATTAGTGGAGGCACTATTTTAAGGCTATTTGCAAATGCAAATAAGTTCATGGTATACAGAACACGATAAACCACTGCCTGGGCTCTTTTTGACCCAGGACTATTTCTTTCCAAATAAGCTATTGGTCTCTGGTGCCAGGAGGGGCTGATATTGGGATGGGGCACTTGGATTGGAAGAAGAAATAGGCAATGGTTTCTGGCAAATGGGCAGAAATGGGCAAAGGGAAAGACCAAACAAGAAGGCAGAGGCTGTTTCAGAGTGTGTAAGTTTGGGCCCCGTCGTCTGGGCTTTCCACTGGCACAAGGGGCTCGGGCAGGGCCAGCACGCTTGGCTAGCTTCTCCTGGAGCATAGCTGCTTGGAGCTCCCAGCACTGCAAGGCCAGGAGTGGCTTCCAGTTGTTTGGTAAGTGGTGCCTTCTATTTCCTGCCTCTTATGTCTCTCAGCTCATCAAAGCAGACAAAGGGATCTGACTTGAAGAGACACATTTTTGTCACGTCCCACCTCCAATGCACACAGTCCAGGAACCGAGCCTGATAGTCAAAGGGTTTAATCACATGCTGCTCACCCCTTCTTACCCACTCCCTTGCTGGCTGTCAGCTCCAACTTTGAACATCTGCCCCAGATGCAGCCTGACCCCACACCACACTCCCCCAGGCATACGAGCCTCATGAGAACATACCTGTCACAAGTGCCCATCCACTGCAGCTCCAAGAGACCAGAGGCATAAGCCCAGTGGCATTCCCAAGGAACACAGAAGTAAGGGATCAAGAATAAATGAAGAGGAGCCTTTGTGAGCTCCCCATACCTCCTAACACTCCTCGTAGAGAGAGAGAAATAATGTCAGGGCTGAGGCAGGATCTCAAATGCAGAAAGGGGAACTGACTAGAGAGAAATAACACCACAGACAGGGGCAGTGTTCTCTCTGGTTCCAGATAACTTCTGCTGGCAGGTGGGCATTTCCACTGATGAGAATGACTACAAACACACTCCTGAGAGCTAGTGACTGTAAAGCCCTGAGGAAACCCCCTGAAGACAGCCCAGCCAACAAACATGGCAAAGACACCTTCCCTGACAGATCACAGAGGTCCGTAGGTAAAAAGAATCAGCTCAGTTCAGCAAATGTTTTACTGGGCAGCCACATGCCAGACACTGTGTCTGGCTGAGCAGGGCTGCAGGAGACAGCCCTCAATCAGAGACAGCAGAGAGACCTGACGCTTCACCTGTCACCTTGCCCCAAATCACTCATTGAGTACCACTCCATGAATCCTGCTAGCAGTCAATAAACCCACATAGCCCCTATTTCAGATTATCCTAATCTAATCCTAGTTGTCCTCGTAGAATGTCTCTATTATCTTGGCCCACTATTCCTGGAAGTGGATGGTACTCTTTGTTTTGGCCACACCAGGTGGCAGGTGGGATCTTAGTTCCCCAATCAGGGGTCGAACCCATGCCCCCTGCATTGGGAGCACAGAGTCTTAACCACTGGACTACCAGGGAAGTCCTAGTGGATGGTACTACTGAGTCTGGGGAAGAGTCACAAGAAGTATGAAAGGTATGTGAATTCCATGTGGATCTTTCCAAACCCTGTGCTTAGGCAGAAGCAGGCTTCACATATATAATCCTGCCCAGCACATGGCTTCTTTTTTCTGACCTTATCAGGCCTTACAATACCTTCTGCTCAATTTGGGGGTAATTATGTGCCTCTTTGTCTGCAGCATTAGAGTCCAGAGGAGAGAGAGCCTGCCTCTGAGCAGGTCTCCCCCTTCTCTTAGAGACTGGTGGTGCCCCGTGAGGCTGGAGACATTGAAAGTGACAAAATGAAAACTGCTTGATGTTGTCTGGGTGGAGGAAGTCCAGGGGAAGTAGCACCGGTTTTTGAACTGGTGGTCAGTCCAAGGTCAAATCTTGGCTTGATCCACTGGGCCCTGGGCAGATTACAGAATATCTCCCAGCTCAGTCTTCTCATCTATGAATTGTGACTAGTAATAGCTTCCTTGCTATGTGGTTGTGAAAACCAAACGAGGTCTTGCATGTAAATAACCTGGCACATAGCATGCTCTGCTGCTATTTAGTCTTCATCACTGCTTTCCCATCTTCTTTTTGGACTTTCCAATCCTCATTTTGACCTTTCCACAAAGATCTTCCTTCCGTCACTGGAAAGATGATCATTCTTCCCCCAAACAGGTTTGTAAACCCCTTCACCTTTCACTGTGGCCTCTCAAAACCTGTGTGGGTCCTGGGCCTTCACTCACACTTCTTCCCCTCAGCCACTTTATGTGCGTACTTTGGAAACTTCATCCTTTATTCGAATAGGCCTCACCTGGGGTTTTCCTCTGGATTTTACAATTGTATGGTTTTTAATTTGAAAGGGTCTATTTGGTTTCCTTATTGTAACACATGAAATTACCCCACCTATCAGAGTGCAGCAAATTAATTCATATTCCATGTAGTTTTCAAATTTTCTTCTCTTCCTTGTACTCAGCAATCAAAATATAAGACTGACTAAATTGGGAAGTCCTACTATCAAAACATTTGGAATAATACTTCCCAAACTTCAGTCATTCTGGCTACTAGTCTCACTTCATATCTGTGCAAAATCTGTACTATCTTTTGTACAATATTTTTCTCTTAACTTACTTTAAGTAAATTTGTTTAAAAAGGAATCCTTATGTCAATATTAAAAATTTTAAAAAGCAGTATCATTTGCCATAAATAAAGGATGAGTAAAAATAAAAAGTCACACTATACTTCAGAATCAAAGATATGTGTGTTCAAATGCCATCTTCTATAGTTAATAGCTGTGTGTTCTTAGGGAAGTGACTTAACTTCTGTGAGTCTTAGTTTCCTCACAGAAGTAATGCTAAATATCTTCTAATCTCATCATAAGGGTCAGAGAGGATGACATAATTATACACATAGTACCTAGCACAGATTGTGGCATGTAGTAGTTTCCTTTAAAAAAAACAATGTTTTTTTTTTTTTTTCATTTTCTGTGTTCCATGTCCCTTCTTTCATCTGCTTACTTTAGTTCTTGCTTAGAGCAGCCTCCTCCAAAGCTGTAACATAGAAGTGCAGGGAGATGAGGCAGGCAGCAGAAATAAAGGACAATACAGTGTCATGGAATTCTCCTACTCCATGACTTAGAGATGCAGAGTTGTTTAAGGGACCTCAGAAGTCATTCCAGTCTCTTACTCAAGCAAGGAACCCCCTTGATATCATCTCTGATAGATGGAGGTGCAGTCTTTGCTTTTTCACTAATGTTGGAAAACTCACTATCTGATGAGACAGCTCTAAGAGAAAAGCCTTCTTTATAATAATCCTGTCATCCACCTTTCACTCCTCACTCCCAGAAATACAATCTACTTGTCCCTGTCATGTTTTCTAAAACTACCAGAATATATGTATCTATATCTAGATATAAAATCCTCCAAATCCAAAGCAAATATTATAAATTTCCTTAATACTCTCTTCTTGAAACTAAATATAATCAGCTGTTCCTTGTATGATTTTTTCTCCAGAACCATAATCAACTGGGGCTTCCTAGGTGGGGCAAGTGGTAAAGAACCTGCCTGCCAATGCAGGAGACATGAGAGATGCAGGTTGGATCCCTGGGTCGGGAAGATCCCCAAGAGGAGGGCATGGCAACCCACTCCAGTATTCTTGCCTGAAGAATCCCACGGACTGGTGGGCTACAGTCCATAGGATCATAAAAAGTCAGACAGAGCTGAAGCAACTTAGCACATGCACACATGTGCACCCTAATCAACTCAGTGACTCTCACACTGGCACCCATCTCCCTGAGTTTGTCAACTATCTTTTTCTCACAGAATGAAACAGGCAGTGACAAGATCACTTTTGTAAATGGGTCTGAGATCAAATTAGCCTATGTACATTTCCACTGTGAGGTTGGCTGACCATGACTTTTTTTTCACATGTCAAGTCAGATCACCACCCTCTGGCCCCATCTTGTTTGTGTATCAGTATTTGAGGCCAGTGTTCAGCCAATCAACATTACTTTGAATCCCACATATTTCATCCATTGTAAATTAGCCATTCCTTCCAAGCCCGTGCCACTCAAAAATCTTATAAGGCAGACTCACCAAGGCTCATCAGAGCCAAGACACAGAGGGTTCAACAGTGATGGTGGCCAGCAGTTTCAAATGCTGAGAAGAGGTCAAGCAAAATGAAGATCAGTTCCTTGTGTTAATGAGGAGGAAGTTGCTGGTAACCTCAGAAATCTGCCTTCTGTGTGGGGCTGCTTCCTCTACTGCCTCCCTCCCAGATGTCCTTAGGTCTGAGGAGGCCATGGCTACCAGGAAAGCAGCAAGAGGGGAGTGGCTTATAGATAGTGGCTGAGTGGAGAAAATGGACCCCTTCCCCATGTCCTTGGCCAGCTTTGCTCAAGAGATGTTCCTCTGGGACCATGTAGTCAGGGTCTACTCTGGGAGGCAAAGCTAGAAACATGCGGCATTTGGAAAGATCCGAACACTTAGCTGAATTTTCCAGTTCCAGTTGTATTCGTTGTTTTATATATTTGGCTTTCTGTGGCCAGGGGCCAGGAGTCACTCTAGAAGCATTCGTGGTGGTGGTGGTGGTGGTTCTGATACTAGCTAAATAGTTTCCACACATAATTGTAGAGGCTTAATTCATTGAAATGTTAATTAGTGTTTGTTTTCTGGGCTTCCTTGATACAGAGATTTTTTACAGAGGAGAAAGCAGAAGAGACCTAAAGTCAAAAGTGCTTTTGGACTTTTGTGAAAGCCTCTGGAAAAGACAATGTAGGTGCCCCAGAAGGTGAGAGACAAGACAGAGAGTGGCTTTTGAGATGCAGAAGGAAGAGAGAGAAGGGCAGAAGTGTGTGAGCCCTGTGCATAGTAGGATCCAAGCAACCCACACACTGCTCCCAAGGGCACAACAACCTCATGGGAGATGGTTCATGCAGGAGACCCACTCTCAGTGAATGACCTCATTCCCCACTGTGGCGTGGGGGCAGAGAGCTGCCAGATTTCACAGCCCCACTGTGGGCTAGAGAGTAGGGGGGCTGATAGCAACCAGTATAGACCAGGACTTCCACCACTTTTAAGGCACCAGGTAAGCTTCTGAATTCTGACTGGGCCACAAGCAGGGGAGGGCACCCCTGTATGATCAATCTGGAAGGAAATTAGCCCTGAATATTTATTGGAAGGACTGATGCTAAAGCTGAAACTCCAATACTTTGGCCACCGACTCGATGGATATGAGTTTGAGTAAGCTCCGGGACTTGGTGATGGACAGGGAAGCCTGGTGTGCTACAGTCCATAGTGTCACAAAGAGTCGGACACAAATGAGTGACTGAACTGACTGACTAACTTGTCTAACTGTCAGAATGGGGGCTCACAGGTGGGATTAAGAAATAAGAAAAGTGATGATGTCTTACACACTTGGACTCATGGACAGAACTTCACACCCTATGTGTAATGTAATCCATGCATGGAGGCCCAGGATTGAACTGTAGACACAGTTTCTGAATTGTCCTTTATTTAGAACTGCTGCAGCCCAGGGCTGGGCCCTATTCTTATTGCCAGACTTGCTGCACAATCTCTAATGATGCAGGAGAGTTAGCCATCCCAACATCTGACTCTAGTTTTAAAAAGATTCTGCTGGGTTCACAGACAGGTTCCCTAACACTGCCTGCAAGAGAGAGCATGAAACATCTG